CCCCTTCCCCTCCCCGTGGTGCCGTGTCCCCTCTTGGGGACCCCTCTCCACGCTGCCCCTGGATGCGGGCAGGGGCTGGAGCCAGGTCCGATCCCTCCCCGCTAAAAAGGAGCTAAAAAGTCAAGCGGGGAGGGTTGGCGTGGAAGCGCAGCGCCCGCAGCGGGAGCCAGGGTGGCCCCGGCCCCGTGGGCTCCCGGAGGGGACGCGTGCTCTCCTTCCCGTCCTGGCCATGGCTTCTGTCCGAGCGTGGCAGGGCCACCGGGCACCACGGGGACCCGAGAGCGGCTGGGGGAGAGGGCAGAGCCCTCAGTCACTGTCCGAGCCCACGGCGGAGGAGCCTTTTCTTTTCCTTTTGGCGGGTTTGGGTTTGGTGTCTGCCTCCTCCTGTGCCGGGAGAGGGGGAAGCGGGGGTCACTGCGCCTCCTGGGAGCAGGGATGCGGCCGAGGGGCTGCGGGGGGACGGGGACGCTTACCGAGGCGCTGCTGGAAGCCGACTCCTCCTCGTTGTTGGCTGGCTGGGCCGCGTTCTTGCGGCTGCGGGGGCTGGAGAGGGTGGCTTTTCGGCGGCTCTTGGGGGGTTTGGTGGAGGAGTCTTCATACTCCTCTGCCAGGGAGAAGAGGTCGCTGAACCTGGGAGGAAGCAGGGGGTGGTGGGCGGTCAGGCGCTGTCGGGGCACCCGGGGGTCCCGAGGCCACCGGCTGCCGGGCAGGGAAGGGCCGACTCACTTCATCTTGTGGGCTTCGTCGCAGCTGGCCTGGACGTGCTGCAGCGCCTGCAGGATCGGGGTTTGGCTGAAAACTGTCAAGGAACCAGCAGAAACGGGAGTCAGAGACCCGACAGCGGGTACCCCCAGGCAGGGGAACCCCCCACCCATCCGGGGTTTTCGTAGCTTTGCAAGGGGCTCCCAGTATCCCAGAGCATCCCAGTTCCCAGGTGAGGCCTGGGGCACGTCACGGCGACGGGCAGCGGCTGCGGCCCCGGGGCTGGCCCGGTTGCGCGGCAGTACGTACAGTTCTGTTTGGTGTTGGTCAGGTTGAGGCGGAGGTTGTCCAGGTGCTCCAGGATCTGCTCCAGGGTGAGCTGGGCCAGTTTGCTGCTGGAGCTGCGCAGGCTGAGGGCAGAGGAACAGCACCCGTCAGCGTGCGCCCCACTCCCCCTGCCCACCCCTAGCTTGTCCCCCCAACGACAGGCTGCGGGTGGGCAGAGCGAGCGCCCCGGCCCTGCAGCAGCACCCCCAAACCCCCAGGCAGATGCGGGGCGCAGGTAACCCTGCCATCTGCGCTGCCCCGGGGTGCCCCAGCACCCAGCGGCCGGAGCAGGGGGGCTCGGGGAATGGGGAGAAGCGCAGGATCCATTTTCCGGCTCCAGCACCCGCGGGGTCCCCTGGGGCTGGTCTACGTGTGCTGTTCCAGCCCAGGGATTAAGGGGATAAATCCTGCTCAGGGCGTTCACCGCCGCGATCCCCGGCGGTTCTGGGGAGCACTAAGCGCCCCGTGCTGAGCCTCGGCCGCAGGATGGTGCGCGGTGCCAGCACCCCGGGCGCTGCCAACAGCCGGGGCCTCAGCTGGCCGCCCGTTAATTAGCAGGGATTAGAGCTGGATACGGCTCGGATCCCGGAACAGAAACACAGCGAAAATAGGCGCGTTGTTCAGCTGCGAAAGGCCATTAATTAACGCGGAGGAACAGATGAAGCCCCCCCCCCCCCCAGCCTCTTCCGAGAGCTGGGGGCACCCAGAGGTGGCCGAGACGTCGGCGGGACCGGCCGCTGTCCTGGTGCCGGCGTGCGACGTGCACACGGAGCACCAGCGAGATCCTGGCGATGGCGAACCTCCTGGCAAGGCTCCGTCCGAGCCGCTGGCCGTGACCCAGCTCCGTGCCGCGGTGGTGCCGGCTCCCTGGGTGCTGGGTGGGGGTCCTTGGGGACCCGCAGCCCTCGCTGCGGCGGGAGCGCGGTGCTGCTCTGCTTTCCCAGGACACTAGATGTCCTTCCTACTCCAGCAAAGGGCTGCAGGCACCCAGCCAGGAATGGGCCGCAGAGCACCCCGTCAGCCCGGCACGGCGGGCTCGGGGGCGCCGGGGCACACCCCCCCCCCTTTTTTTCCCCCGCTGCCGTGAGCCGGCACGGAGCAGGCAGCGGGACTGGGCAACCCTGATGTTGTTGGTCTTTGAGGCTGGATAAAAGGCTGGGAAGTCACCCGGGGAGCTGAGAGCGGCAGAAAGAGCCCCTGCCTCCCCGCCGAGGGACACCCTGGGGTTGGGGTGAGGTGTCCCATGCGCCATCACGGCCAGGAGCCGGCACAGCAGCGCAGGACCAGCTGCGGCACCCCGTGCTCCTCTCCGTTCCTCTCCCGCAGCGGTGAGGTCTGGCCACCTCCTCCAGCACCCAGAGCTCTGCCCACGCAGGGTGGCCGGGAACAAGCCCTCCGCCCCTTCCCTCCAAAGGCCGGAGGCCAGGAACCTTGCCCCGGGGAGCTGGGATTTAACCTCCGCAGGCTACGGCTTGGCCCGGCTGCGTCCTTTAGTCCCACTGCACTGAGGGGCCCTGACCCCATCCACCCCCGAGGCAGCAGCGTCCCAGCAGAGATTAAGCGAACCACATCTAGAAGATTATTTGCACCAAAAGATGCTCTGGGAACATCCAGCTGTGCCCAGGCGGGCACAGCGGGGCCGAGCAGAGGGGCCTGCCTGGCCGGCGCCGCAGCAGGGGAGCACCGAGCCTTGGCACTGCTCACACAAGCAGCTGAAAGCGCTTCCCCACGCAGCCTGGGTAACGGGCTCGGCATAAAAGGGTCCTGCTGGCGGGGTGTCAGCGCGGGCGAGATCAAAGAGCAGCCTCCCGCACGGCTCCGGAGCGGAGACGCTCGCTCGGGGCTCTGGCTGAGCATCAGCGCGTGGGTGGCCAGCGGCACCGCCCCGGCCTCGAGGAGACGGTGGAATAACCGGCAGGACGGGCTGGTGTGCCCGCACCGCGCCGACGGCACGCAGCGTCGCGGCTGGCTGGGTGGGGGGCGGGGGGGGGGCGAAGGCAGAGGGAATAACCGGCAGGACGGGCTGGTGTGCCCGCACCGCGCCGACGGCACGCAGCGTCGCGGCTGCCTGGCTGGCGCGCGGAGCGGGGCACAAGGCAGAGTCTGTCACTCGGTTCCCGGTGGCAGGGCGGCCCCAGGGGACACAGCGGGAGATGCCGCGCCGGCCCCGGCCCCTCACCTTTGGCGTTTTCGCGGTAGGCTGTTGTTCTTGATCAGCAGCGACTTGATGTGCTCGGCCAGGAGGTCGTCGTGTTTGATGCACCAGTGCCGCAGGATGCTGGTGGTGAACTGGTCGTCGGGGTGGCAGGGCCGGCTCAGCACCATCTTCACCATCTCCTCGCTGGGCCTGCGGCAAACGGGGAAGGGCACGTGAGGGGGAAGGCCGAGCGGTTCGTACCCGGTCGGCTGGGGTCCCCCCTGCAGCCACTGCCGCCCACTTGAGCCTGATGGGAGGCTTCAGACCTGGACGTTACCAGGCTGCGGAGCTGCCGTGCCGCGAGGGACCTGGCACAGGAGCCCCGGCACAGCTTAGACGCGACCAAGCTTCCCCAGACACCGCTGGGGACCTGCACGCTCTTTGGCAGCCCCAGCAGCGTTGGCTCCCAGGCTCAGGGGATGACGGGCAGTGTTCAGACTCCTCTGCTTCCCTGAGATCGCTGGCAAGCAATCCTCCTGGGGACTAGCCGCCACCAAGCTCACCCAGTCGTGCCAGCCCCACTCCCTCCCCGCCGTGGGAAAAGCGCTGCTGCACGCTGGCGGCCCGAGCTCGCCCCTGCGCTCTCCGTCATCACGGGCTTTTCACTAACGCAATTTAGAGCTGGGATTAGATTAGCCACCCTCATGCGCTGCGTTAATGAAAACAAATAAAGTGCTCTTCACTCAGAGTGGTGGGATGCGGCCAATCCACCCGAGCAGGCAGAGACAGCGCGGATCAATGCCAAGGCAGCTCTAATGCTGTGCCCCGGGGGGCAGGTGACAGCCTGCTCTCCGTTAATGGGCTCCAGGATGCGCAAGGTGAAAGACAAAACAGCCCATCGGCACTCGGCAAACGGTGCTCCCCACGCTGCGGCACGGCAGGGAGCTGCTGCCTTTCGGAAGGGTGCTACCGCTGGGGTCTCGTCACACGTGTCCACCCTACTTCGTCCCCACGGGCTCCAGGGAAGGACTCGCACCCAAAGTGAGCTGGGGAGTGCCAGCAAGAGGGGCTTTCCCCACACCTCGCTTCTCAAACAGCCCAAGCCGGAGCGGGTGGCATCCCCTTGTCCCCACCACGCTGACAGTGCTCAGGAAAGCCACCAGCCGCAGCGTGCCCCACAAGCCCACAGCCACAGGACCCTCTGCGGAGTGCTGCACAGCCCTGTGCTCGGCGGCACTCACTTCTCTCGCCTCAGCTGCAGCAGCAGGCAGGATAACGCCTCAGGGTGCTCTGCAAAGGAAGGAACATCCTCAGCACAGGAGCTCGTGGCCGCCGTGGCCCAGCGCCGTGCCTCTCCCGAGCAGGGGAAAGCTCACCTTTGTACTTGAGGTGCTGCAGGATCGGGATGATGGTCTCCAGAGGAATGCTGTGTGCGAGGAAGAGCTGCCAGGTGCAGTACTGCTCAAAGGTCTCCCAGTCCAGGCTTTGAACTAGGGTGAAGCACAGGATGGTGAGGGGAGCTGCACAGCACCCGGAGGAAGGGCAGGGACCTGCCAGAGCCACCGCGGGCAGCTCTGCCACAGCCCCTCTGCGAGGTTCAGCTGCGCTCAGGGCCGGCGCTGCTCCCGCCTGGCGTTATACCCACCCCTCCAGCCCAGAGCAGGGCACGGAGAGGGGCACGGTGCCTCAAACCCTGCTGCGTGTCGGGGTTCGCGCCGTGCCAGGGCAGCTGCGCGAGCAGCACGGGCAGCCCCACGCGTGCCGAGGCCGAGCAGGGGCTCCGGGACCTGGCAGGTGGCACCGGCGCAGGCTCTGCCAGCTGAGGCATGGGTGACAGAGCTGCAAAGTCACTAAAGCAGCTGCTTGGGGCTCAGAGGAAGAGAATTAACGAGGCTCTTTTAATTAATGGGCTTAGACTGCTGCTTGCAGCTTGTGTAACACCAGAGCTGGATCTAGGCAGCCATCGGATCAGGGCGATGGGGCTTCTCTCCGGAACCGCTGGCTCCCACGCACCGAGCTCTCCACGCTGGCTCTGCCCAAAGGGCTGCAGCGATGGCCAGCTCTG